TGTGTGTGTGTGTGTGTACTCACCTATTTGTACTCACCTAATTGTGGTTGCAGGGGTCGAGACTCAGCTCCTGGCACCGCCTCTTCACTGATCGCTACTGGGTCCTCTCTCTCTCTGCTTCCTGAGCTTTGTCATACCTCTTCTTAAAACTATGTATGGTTTCCTGCCTCCACTACTTCACTTACTAGGCTATTCCACTTGCTGACAACTCTATGACTGAAGAAATACTTCCTAACGTCCCTGTGACTCGTCTGAGTCTTCAGCTTCCAGTTGTGACCCCTTGTCCCCGTGTCCCCTCTCTGGAACATCCTATCTCTGTCCACCTTGTCTATTCCCCGCAGTATCTTGTATGTCGTTATCATGTCTCCCCTGACCCTTCTGTCCTCCAGTGTCGTCAGTCCGATTTCCCTTAACCTTTCCCCGTACGACATTCCCCTTTAGCTCTGGGACTAGCCTAGTTGCAAACCTTTGTTTCTTTCTCTAACTTCTTGACGTGCTTGACCAGGTGTGGGTTTTCCCGACTGGGGCTGCATACTCCAGTATGGGCCTAACATACACAGTGTAAAAGTTTCTTGAACGATTCCTTATTAAGGTATCGGAACGCTATTCTCAGGTTTGCCAGGCGCCCGTATGCTGTAGCGGTTATTTGGTTGATGTGTGCCTCTGGTGATGTGCTCGGGGTTATGGTCACCCCAAGGTTCTTTCTCCCTGATGAGGTCTGTAGTCTTTGTCCACCTAGCCTATACTCTGTCTGCGGTCTTCTTTGCCCCCCCCCAATCTTCATGACTTTGCTTTTGGGCGGGATTGAATTCGAGAACCTGTACGGGCCCACATGTCCACCCTGTCCAGTCTCTTTGCAGCCCTCCCTCATCCCGTCCGATTTAATTTTTCTCACACTTCACATTCTCAAAGGGGGACATTTCGAGTCTTTTCCCTTCCATAAATCGTTCACAAAATTCAAAAATAGCAGGGCCCTAGAACTGCCCCCTGTGGGACCCCGTCGTAACAGGCACCCACTGGAAACCCTTCACGTACCATGACTCGTGCGCCTCCCTGTCAGGTATTCCCTTATCCATTGCAGTGCCCCCCTTTTACATCGCCTATCCCCCACTTCTGCCCTAAATCTTTGTGGGGAACTTGTCAAAGGCTTCCTGCAGTCAGGAAAACGCAATTACCCCCCCCTCCTTCTCGTGTTTTACTTCTGTTACCTTGTCAAAAACTCCAGGGGGTTTTTGTGATACAGTTTCCCTTCATAAACCCATGCTGGTTTTCTTTTTAAAATCTTGTTCCTTTCCGGTTTTCGACCACTCTCCTCCTGAAATCTTCTTCTGACTTTGCACACAATACATGTCAGAGACACAGGTCTGTAGTTTAGTCCCGTTTTTTGCTCCCCTTTTTTAAATAGGGGGTACATTAGCTGTCTTCCATTTCTCAGGGAGTTTTCCCAGTTTCAAGGGGTGTGTTGAAGATGTGGTTAGAGGCTGCACGCATCTCTGCTCCCTTTTCTAGGACCCCTGGGGGGATGTCCGGTCCCCCCCCTTTGAGGTGTCAAGGTCCTTTAAAAGGGTTTTTCACCTCCTCCTCATTCGATGTCTCCAACACTTGTTGGGAATTCCCTCTTAGTTCCCTTCTGTCTGTCTTCCCACAGCCCTTCCGTCCTACTGTAAAAAATTCCCTTTAAAACCCTGTTCACTCCCACTACCTCCTATCTTTCTTGGAGTTCTCCACCTCTGTCCTTTAATCTGATCACCTGGTCTTTGACTTTTGTCTTCCTCCTGATGTGGCTATACAACAGTTTCGGGTCAGTCTTGATTCTCGATGCTATGTCATTTTCATACTGTCGCTGGGCCTCCCTCCTTACCTGTGCATACTCATTCCTGGCTCTGCGACTGATCTCCCTATTTTCGTGTGTTCTCTGCCTTCTGTACTTTTTCCATTCTCTATTGCACTTTGTTTTTGCCTCCTTACACCGTCGGGTAAACCAGGGGCTCGTTCTGGTCTTCCCATTGTTACTGTTGCCCTTGGGAATAAACCTTCCCACTGCCTCCTTGCATTTTGTTGTTACATATTCCATCATTTCATTTACTGGCTTTCCTGCCAGTTCTCTGTCCCACTGGACCTCCCGCAGGAAGTTCTTCAACCCTATGTAGTCCCCTCTTTTATAGTCAGGCTTTTCCCATTCAACTCCTGTTATTCTCTCCACTTGCAGCTCTATGTATTCAAAGCACAGAACCATGTGGTCGCTAGCTCCTAGGGGACTCTCATACTTGATGTCCTCAATGTCTGAGCTGCCCAGGGTGAACACAAGGTCCAATCTTGCTGGTTCATCCTCCCCTCTCACTCTGGTAGTGTCCTTAACATGCTGGTGCATGAGGTTTTCCAGCACCACGTCCAACATCCTGGCTCTCCATGTTTCGGGACCCCCATGTGGCTCCAGGTTTTCCCAGTCGATCTCCCTGTGGTTGAAATCCCCCATAACCAGCAACTTTGCTCTGCTGGAATGAGCTCTTCTTGCCACCTCAGCAAGTGTGTCCACCATTGCTCTGTTGCTTTCTTCATATTCCTCTCTTGGCCTCCTGCAGTTCTGTGGTGGATTATACATCACTGCAATGACCACTTTGTGTTCCCCAACTGAAGTGTACCTGCTGTGTAGTCTCTTTTCTCCCGTCTCATCTATGCCTTCCATTTTCTCGAATTTCCATCTGTTTTTTTACGAGCAGAGCAACCCCACCTCCCCCCCTGCCCCTTCTATCTTTCCTCATGATCTGGTATCCTGGTGGGAAGATTGCATCTGTTATTGTCTCTGTGAGTTTTGTTTCTGTAACTGCTATGGTGTCTGGGGACTTCTCATTTATTCTTTCTTGCCATTCCTCATGTTTATTCGTTAATCCATCTGCATTTGTGTACCAAACCTTCAACTTCTGTTCTAATACTGTAACTGTGGTGCGGGGGGTGGAAACAGAGGGATCGGTGTGTGATGGTTGGTTTGGATTGTTCAGTTGCCTTGGGGGTGTCGTGGCTGGAGACCTCCTGCAGGTGTTTCTGGGGGGTGTGCTTGTCCTTCCATTTGATCCTGGGTTATTCTGCTGTGTGTGTGTGTGTGTGTGTGTGTGTGTGTGCGTGCGTGTGCGTGTGTGCGTGTGCGTGTGTGCGTGTGCGTGTGTGTGTGTGTGTGTGTGTGTGCGTGTGTGTGTGCGTGTGCGTGTGTGCGTGTGTGTTAGTTTAGTTAGTTACCATTTTGTCCTAGGCACATGTCAATTAGACACTTGGCCTGTTGTATAAAAGAGTGTGTGTGTGTGTGTGTGTGTGTGTGTGTGTGTGTGTGTGTGTGTGTTAGTTACCATTTTGTCCTAGGCACATGTCAATTAGACACTTGGCCTGTTGTATAAAAGGTGAGTGTGTGGTGTGTGTGTGTGTGTGTGTGTGTGTGTGTGTGTGTGTGTGTGTGTGTGTGTGTGTGTGTGTGTGTGTGTGTGTGGTGTGTGTGTGTGTGTGTGTGTTAGTTACCATTTTGTCCTAGGCACATGTCAATCAGACACTTGGCCTGTTGTATATAAGAGTGAGTGAGTGTGTGTGTGTGTGTGTGTGTGTGTGTGTGTGTGTGTGTGTGTGTGTGTGTGTGTGTGTTGTGTGTGTGTACTCACCTAGTGAGGTTGCGGGGGTCGAGTCCGAGCTCCTGGCCCCGCCTCTTCACTGATCGCTACTAGGTCACTCTCCCTGAGCCGTGAGCTTTATCATACCTCTGCTTAAAGCTATGTATGGATCCTGCCTCCACTACATCACTTCCCAAACTATTCCACTTACTGACTACTCTGTGGCTGAAGAAATACTTCCTAACATCCCTGTGATTCATCTGTGTCTTCAGCTTCCAACTGTGTCCCCTTGTTACTGTGTCCAATCTCGGGAACATCCTTCCTTTGTCCACCTTGTCAATTCCTCTCAGAAATTTTGTATGTCGTTATCATGTCCCCCCTATCTCTCCTGTCCTCCAGTGTCGTCAGGTTGATTTCCCTTAACCTCTCTTCGTAGACATACCTCTTAGCTCTGGGACTAGTCTTGTTGCAAAAACCTTTGCACTTTCTCTAGTTTCTTTACGTGCTTGGCTAGGTGTGGGTTCCAAACTGGTGTGTGTGTGTGTGTGGTGTGTGTGTTGTGTGTGTGTGTGTGTGTGTGTGCGGTGTGTGTGTGTGTGTGTGTGTGTGTGTGGTGTGTGTTGTGTGTGTGTGTGTGTGTGTTGTACTCACCCAGTTTTAGGTTGCGGGGTCGAGTCCGAGCTCCTGTGTGGTGTGTGTGTGTGTGTGTTGCGTGTGTGCGTGTGTGTGCGTGTGTTGGCATCGTACTATTACCATTGTTATATTATTTTGATTGATGGAAAATTCAATAAGTTAAGGTGATTAAAATGATTTATCATTATTCATGTTGACGTGTGTGAGGTGAAGCTAACATTACATGTGTGAGGTGAAGCTAACATTACGTGTGTGAGGTGAACTAACATTACGTGTGTGAGGAAGTAACATTACGGTGTGAGGTGAAGCTAACATTACAGTGTGGGGGGTGAAGCACATTACGTGTGTGAGGTGAAGCTAACATTACGTGTGTGAGTGAAGCTAACATTACATGTGTGAGGTGAAGCTAACATTACGGTGTGGAGGGGAAGCTAACATTACATGTGTGAGGGGAAGCTAACATTACATGTGAGTGAAGCTAACATTACATGTGTGAGGTGAAGCTAACATTACGTGTGTGAGGTGAAGCTAACATTACATGTGTGAGGTGAAGCTAACATTACGTGTGTGAGGTGAAGCTAACATTACGTGTGTGAGGTGAAGCTAACATTACATGTGTGAGGTGAAGCTAACATTACATGTGTGAGGTGAAAACAACATTACATGTGTGAGGGAAGCAACATTACATGTGTGAGGTGAAGCTAACATTACAGTGTGTGAGGTGAAGCTAACATTACATGTGTGAGGTGAAGCTAACAGAGTGTATCATTGCAGGATTGGAACCCTCGTAGTCTCTCCACCTTCTCAACGTTCCGGGGGAGCCAGGACTCCCCTCCACCCATGGGCCTCAACGGCCACCTCAACGGCACTCTCCACGTCAACGGCACCAATGGCGTGGGTGGCGGCGTGTCCGTGGTGGCCAAGACCAATGGCACAGTAAGGGTGGGCGGCATCACCCCGCCCACCACCCCGCCCCACCTGGACGCCCCGGACGTCATTCCTCACTTCCACAAGCTCACCCCGGAGGTGGTAAACCACATGCCCAAGCCGTTACTGGGCATGCCTGTAGTGCCCCCTAGCGTGGAGGGTATGACCCGCCCACGGCACGCACATAGCAAGTCCCTAGTGGATTATGAGCTCCAGCAGCCGCCCACGCCGCCCAAACACGCCCACTCTCGCTCACTCCTAGACAACATGGACCTCCTGCCGCCCAAGTCTCCTGATGGGGTAAGATAAACTCTCTCTTACTGTACTTGATTACCAGACGGTGGATCGAGCCTCCATCACTCCTTGTGCTGATATTAATAATAATTATATTATTATTATTATTATTATTATTATTATTATTATTATTATAAATAATCATAACACTAATAACAGCATGGTTGTCACGTGCGTATTTAGCGCTCACAGTTTGACCTTCGAGGTCATTCTAATGTTTCTCAGGCGGAACGAATAAAGATTATACATTTTTTTTCACCTAAATTCCTTTGATTTAATATAGCTTCGTTCCGCAAAGCTGTGGTAATGTGTGCTCTGGGGAAGGAAGGGGAGGGAGGCACGAGGCGTGCATTCATTGGTCAGTTTATGTACAGTTGTGCATCTGTTCGTTAATGCAAATATCTAATCGGCCAATCATGTGGCAGTGCCATAATGCCTACGAACATGCAGACTGTCAAGAGGATCAGTTGTTGTTCAGACTGAACATCAGAATGGGGAAGAAATGTGATTTAAGTGACTTTGATCGTGGAACGATTGATGGTGTCAGACAGACGGGGTGGGTTGAGTATTTCAGGAACTGCCGATCTGGGATTTTCACACGCAGTGTCTAAGGTTCATAGAGAGTTATGTGATAAACAAAACATCCAGTGAGGGGAAGTTCTATGGGCGAAAACGCCTTGTTAATGAGAGAGGTCAGAGGAGAATGGCCAGACTGGTTCAAGCTGACCACACTGGTTACACTCCTGTCTGTTAAGAACAAAAAATTAATGCTACAGCGAAGACTGGCTCACCAAAACTGGAAATTTGAAGACTGGAAAAACGTCGCTTAGTCTGACGAATTGCGATTTCTGCTGTGACGTGCAGATGGTAGTCTGAATTTCACGTAAACCTTTGAGATGTGGTGGAACCGGAGATTTTTAGCCACTGCATAATACTATCATGTCAGTGTGGGCCAGAATCTCTAAGGTATGTTACCAGCACCGTGTTGAATCCATGCCACGAAGAATTCAGGCTGTTCTGGGGGCAAAGGGAAGCCCTACACAGTGCTGGAAGGCTGTACCCATGCTGTAAATGATTCTGAACCATTTACGGCATAGAGATATGGGAGGAAGTGTGCAATAAACTCAGTGAAACGCAGGGGCACCATAGATAATTGGGAACACTGTGTAAAAAATCCATGCAACATTTTTAAACCCCGAGATAAAACATGAAACGAGTTTGTGTCTCCGTGGCGAGAAGGGTGCAGCGGGGATATTGACGGACCCAGCAGTCATAAGGTTTTCGGGTCTCAGACAAGGTGTAAATGTTGAAGACCCAAGACCCCTGTGGGGATTCGCAAATGGGATGGAACGCCGCCCCCTCCTACAATAATTCTACACATTTCCGGGAGATGTTTTTTCCTGCAGCGGTGGGCACCTCAACTTCCCCGATTTGTAAACACACACCCACTGACTGACTCGTATTGACAGGTGTTTAACTTCACATAAGACACCTGTTGAAAATGTGATACTGGAAAAAACTGAGTTTTTTGCCAAAACCCAAAAATGTTCGTTACCTGAAAAAAAAGATCACTGTATTTCCCCTTCATTTGTTTCATTATTATTAATATCGGGGAAGCGATATAATCTCCAAATTACGTGCAGGGAAGGTAGCAGCACAATACAAGTGATCTCCCAAAAAACGCAGACGACGGTTGCCGCCTTTGAGGGTTGTTCCATTTTCACTGCCAGAATAAATTCATCGGGTTATAAAATTTTTGGAACACTTTAAGTGTATTGAAATGTACTCCTGGAATTAGACCCCCAAGAAAATAATTTCTCGGAAAAAGCAAGGATTAGTCCTAAATCAAACATTCTAATTACTCCTACCCGAGCAAGGGATCAGCATACAGTGCAAGATACTCCCCTGAAAAGCAGGGATCAAGGTAAAAATAAAGGGGGCCCAGAATATGTAAATGACCTAAGACAATTCAACACTGTCCCTTCACAGAAGAGGGAATTTCCACAGATCTTCTTTACAGTCTTCAAGAGAACACTTGCAAGTTTCCCCAGTTAGTTTTCCCTCCGCTGGGCTGTGGTGCCTATGTTGGAGTGCGTCGGCCGCACCAAATGCCTGCGATCAGGTGTCAATCAGGAAGCCCGATCTTTTGGCTGGGCAAACGGGGAGTGAAACCCCGGAACTTTTTAAATTTTTTGTTTTTCTCGTTAGATACAAAGGTACAGTTCGAGGAACTTCAACGTTCCCAGTAATTTAGGTATTCGATAAAATTTTATCAGCAATGAAGGAAGGTGTCGGCTGCTGCCTTCACCGCTGTAATTTCTCCTGCCTTAGAAATAGGCTGTTAGTGTACAGCAATATTCCATGACACTGCATGACACTAAATATTGTACTGCATGACATCAAATATTGTTCTGCAAGGCACCAAATATTGTACTGCATGGCACCAAATATTGTACTGCATGGCACCAAATATTGTTCTGCATGGCACCAAATATTGTTCTGCTTGGCACCAAATATTGTACTGCTTGGCACCAAATATTGTACTGCATGGCACCAAATATTGTACTGCATGGCACCAAATATTGTACTGCTTGGCACCAAATATTGTACTGTTTGGGCACCAAAATATTGTACTGCTTGGCACCAAATAGTGTACTGCTTGGCACCAAATAGTGTACTGCTTGGCCCCAAAAATAGTGTACTGCTTGGCACCAAATATGTACTGCTTGGCCCCAAAAATAGTGTACTGCTTGGCACCAAATAGTGTACTGCTTGGCACCAAATAGTGTACTGCTTGGCACCAAATAGTGTACTGCATGGCACCAAATAGTGTACTGCATGGCACCAAATAGTGTGCTGCTTGGCACCAAATAGGGGTACTGCATGGCACAATAGTGTACTGCATGGCACCAAATAGTGTAGTGCATGGCACCAAATAGTGTACTGCATGGCACCAAATATTGTACGGGCATGGCACCAAAAGGGTTTTACTGCATGGCACCAAATAGTGTACTGCATGGCACAAATAGTGTACTGCATGGCACCAAATAGTGTATTTGCTTGGCACCAAATAGTGTACTGCATGGCACCAAATAGTGTACTGCATGGCACCAAATAGTGTACTGCTATGGCACCAAATAGTGTACTGTTTGGCACCAAATATGTACTGCTTGGCACCAAATATTGTATTTGCTTGGCACCAAATAGTGTACTGCTTGGCACCAAATAGTGTACTGCATGGCACCAAATATGTCCCTGCTTGGCACCAAATATGTACTGCTTGGCACCAAATAGTGACTGCATGGCACCAAATAGTGTACTGCATGGCACCAAATAGTGTACTGCTTGGCACCAAATATTGTACTGCATGGCACCAAATAGTGTACTGCATGGCACCAAATAGTGTACTGCATGGCACCAAATAGTGTACTGCTTGGCACCAAATAGTGTACTGCATGGCACCAAATATTGTACTGCATGGCACCAAATATTGTACTGCTTGGCACCAAATAGTGTACTGCATGGCACCAAATAGTGTACTGCATGGCACCAAATAGTGTACTGCTTGGCACCAAATAGTGTACTGCATGGCACCAAATAGTGTACTGCATGGCACCAAATAGTGTACTGCTTGGCACCAAATAGTGTACTGCATGGCACCAAATAGTGTACTGCATGGCACCAAATAGTGTACTGCTTGGCACCAAATATGTACTGCTTGGCACCAAATAGTGTCCTGCTGGCACCAAATAGTGTACTGCATGGCAACCAAATAGTGTACTGCTGGCACCAAATAGTGTACTGCATGGCACCAAATAGTGTACTGCTTGGCACCAAATATGTACTGCATTGCACCAAATAGTGTACTGCTTGGCACCAAATAGTGTACTGCATGGCACCAAATAGTGTACTGCATGGCACCAAATATGTACTGCTGGCACCAAATAGTGTACTGCATGGCACCAAATAGTGTACTGCATGGCACCAAATAGTGTACTGCTTGGCACCAAATAGTGTACTGCATGGCACCAAATAGTGTACTGCATGGCACCAAATATGTGGCTGCTTGGCACCAAATAGTGTACTGCATGGAAACCAAATAGTGTACTGCATGGCACCAAATAGTGTACGCATGGCACCAAATATTTGTACTGCATGGCACCAAATAGTGTACTGCATGGCACCAAATATTGTACTGCATGGCACCAAATAGTGTACTGCTTGGCACCAAATAGTGTACTGCTTGGCACCAAATAGTGTACTGCTTGGCACCAAATAGTGTACTGCTTGGCACCAAATAGTGTACTGCTTGGCACCAAATAGTGTACTGCATGGCACCAAATAGTGTACTGCTTGGCACCAAATAGTGTACTGCATGGCACCAAATAGTGTTCTGCTTGGCACCAAATAGTGTACTGCATGGCACCAAATAGTGTACTGCATGGCACCAAATAGTGTACGGGCTTTGGCCACCAAATAGTGTACTGCATGGAAACCAAAATAGTGTACTGCATGGCACCAAATAGTGTACTGTTTGGGCACCAAATAGTGTACTGCATGCACCAAATAGTGTACTGCATGGCACCAAATAGTGTGCTGCTTGGCACCAAATAGTGTACTGCATGGCACCAAATAGTGTACTGCATGGCACCAAATAGTGTACTGCATGGCACCAAATAGTGTACTGCATGGCACCAAATAGTGTACTGCATGGCACCAAATATTGTACTGCATGGCACCAAATAGTGTACTGCATGGCACCAAATAGTGTACTGCATGGCACCAAATAGTGTACTGCATGGCACCAAATAGTGTCTGCATGGCACCAAATAGTGTACTGCATGGCACCAATAGTGTACTGCATGGCACCAAATAGTGTACTGCATGGCACCAAATAGTGTACTGCATGGCACCAAATAGTGTACTGCATGGCACCAAATAGTGTACTGCATGGCACCAAATAGTGTACTGCATGGCACCAAATAGTGTACTGCATGGAAACCAAATAGTGTACTGCATGGCACCAAATAGTGTACTGCATGGCACCAAATAGTGTACTGCTTGGCACCAAAGACAAACATAACACACCCCTTTAATTTCCTGACACAGAATACTCTATTAATTTTATCTCATAATGGCATTCTGCAGACCTTCAGCTGACACTGTTGCCAGACTTTCCACCACAGTGTTACCATACCCTCCACCACAGTTACCATATCCTCCACCACAGCGTTACCATACCCTCCACCACAGCGTTACCATACCTTCCACCACAACGTTACTATACCCTCCACCACAATGTTACCATACCGTCCACCACAGTGTTACCATACCTTCCACCACAGTGTTACCATACCATCCACCACAGTGTTACCATACTCCTCCACTACAGCGTTACTATACCCTCCACCACAGCGTTACTATACCCTCCACCACAGTGTTACCATACCGTCCACCACAGTGTTACCATACCATCCACCACAGTGTTACCATACCCTCCACTACAGCGTTACTATAACCCTCCACCACAGCGTTACTATACACCTTTCCCACCACAGTGTTACCATACCGTCCACCACAGTGTTACCATACCATCCACCACAGTGTTACCATACCCTCCACTACAGCGTTACTATACCCTCCACCACAGCGTTACTATACCCTCCACCACAGTGTTACCATGCCATCCACCACAGTGTTACCATACCCTCCACTGCAGCGTTACTATACTCTCCACCACAGCGTTACTATACCCTCCACCACAGTGTTACCATACCGTCCACCACTGTTACCATACCCTCCACCACAGTGTTACCATACTCTCCACCACAGCATTACCATACCCTCCACTACAGCGTTACTATACCCTCCTTTGATATACCTTTGAAGAGTTTCGAGAGTTTATCTACTCGCTGAGCCCGGCCATGGGCCAGGCTCGTCTGGTGCTTGCCTGGTCAACCAGGCTGTTGCTGCTGGAGGCCCGCTGCTCCACATATCCATCACAGCCTGGTTGATCTGGCACCTGGTGAAGATACTTGTCTAGTTTCCTCTTGAAGGCTTCTACACTTGTTCCAGCCGTGTTTCTGATATCTTCTGATAAGATGTTGAATAGTCTGGGACCCCGGATGTTGATACAGTGTTCCCTTATTGTCCCCACCGCACCCCTGCTCCTCACTGGGTTTATTTTACACTTCCATATCTCTCGCTCCAGTATGTTGTTATGGCAGTGTGCAGATTTGGGACCAACCCCTCCGCCACAATATTACCATACCGTCCACCACAGTGTTACCATGCCCTCCACCACAGTGTTACCATACCCTCCACCACAGTATTACCATACCCTCCACCACACTGTTACCATACCCTCCACCACAGTATTACCATACCCTCCACCACAGCGTTACTATACCCTTCACCACAGTGTTACCATACCCTCTACCACAGTGTTACCATACCTCCACCACAGTGCCACCATACCTGTCAATACACTAAGGAGTCTTTATATCCTATGAGAGGAAGTAAGACTGTTCTAACGTGCCAGTCTTGGGAAATTCCCATTTATTATTCTAAGGATGCAATGATGCAACATGGGAACTATCATCCACACGAAACTACGTGTGTTCTCTCAGATTCCATAATGAGAACTATCATCCACACGTGTGTTCTCTCAGATTCTGTATTGGCAAGTCTCTTGTCATCGACACGGGATTATAGTTTGTTGATAACAATAAACTTGGTTGGCGCTTTGAAGAGTCACAGTACTATGACATGTTGAAAATGATGACCTGATCTCGGCTTTCAGCTCGCCTCGTCACTTGACCTGACTTGGCTTGACTTTCTCTCCGTATTTTTCTCACCCGTAACATGATAACGATCAAGAACGATCCGAAAGGTTGTCTTACGTTTTTTGCTGGATTGAAGGTGAGGTTTTAATTGTTCCTGGAAGTGTAAGTGACTCATTGTTCCAGGCACGGTATAGTGACTTACTGTTCCAGGAAGGGTATAGTGACTCATTGTTCTAGACACGGTATAGTGACTTAGAGTCTTCACATTACGAATGCACCGAACTGGCAATAACGTTAACAACACCGTGCTTGTGGAGAAGCCGAGTGCCCATGTGCAGTGCTCGGAGAGACGGGGAATTAATGCACAACTCTCGTGGTTTCTGCGTCACTTTGACTCGTCACTACACGACGGGGTTAATAGAGCCGAAGAAAGTGCTTTGAAGTAGGAAATAGAATAGAAGCCCGGGTTTGTCTGCTTCAAACGTTAGAAACATTGTTATAGGTGCAGTTATAGATCTATAATTAACATGATAAGGTGAGTGTAAACAAAGAGGTTAATAACTGACCTGTGCTGGGGTAACTTAGGCTCCATCACCTGCTGACTCCATCACCTGCTGACTCCATCACCTGCTGACTCCATCACCTGCTGACTCCATCACCTGCTGACTCCATCACCTACTGACGCCATCACCTGCTGACTCCATCACCTGCTGACTCCATCACCTGCTGACTCCATCACCTGCTGACTCAATGTAAATTTGTCACAAAATCTGTAGAGTTCTCTAACTTAAATTAGCTGTTACTACGTAACTACTTCAAATTACTTACCTGTTACCTCGTAACTACTTCAAATTACTCACCTATTACCTCGTAACTACATTAACAATACTTATTCTTTAGTATGTAGCTACTAAACATCTGTTCTTCATTAAACGTACATGTATGTAAGCTGTGTGTGCTCCAGCAGGCTGACATTAACATACATGTATGTAACCTGTGTGTGCTCCAGCAGGCTGACATTAACATACATTATGTAACCTTGTGTGCTCCAGCAGGCTGACATTAACATACATGTATGTAACCTGTGTGTGCTCCAGCAGGCTGACATTAACATACATGTATGTAACCTGTGTGTGCTCCAGCAGGCTGACATTAACATACATGTATGTAACCTGTGTGTGCTCCAGCAGGCTGACATTAACATACATGTATGTAACCTGTGTGTGCTCCAGCAGGCTGACATTAACATACATGTATGTAACCTGTGTGTGCTCCAGCAGGCTGACATTAACATACATGTATGTAACCTGTGTGTGCTCCAGCAGGCTGACATTAACATACATGTATGTAACCTGTGTGTGCTCCAGCAGGCTGACATTAACATACATGTATGTAAGCTGTGTGTGCTCCAGCAGGCTGACATTAACATACATGTATTAAGCTGTGTGTGCTCCAGCAGGCTGACATTAAACGTACATGTATGTAAGCTGTGTGTGCTCCAGCAGGCTGACATTAACATACGTGTAACCTGACTCTCCTCTCTCTGTCCTCCAGGCAGGCGTCACAGAGATCAATCTGTTCCTCGGTCCCGCCGACCGCCGCTTCGGCTTCTCTGTTGTGGGAGGTGTTGACGAAGGCTTCCCACCCAGGATAGATGAGATGGCCAAGGGTGAGTACCTCGCATTCTATGATTACCTCGCATTGTGTGAATACCTCACACTTTTTGAACACCACCCTGTGTGTGTCTACTTAACACTGAGTACCCTACACTTGTATGATTTCACAATACTGCTTAAGTGTCCCATACTCTTTGCCCTATACAATACTGCGTGCACGCACACGCACGCGCGCGAGCACACACACACACACACATTATGTCGTGCCGAATAGGCAAAACTTGTGATTTTGGCTTAAATAGCAGCGCTCTTCTTGCCGAATAAGACAAGCGAAAATTTGTCTATGCAATAATTTCTCAAAAATCATTCTGAACCTAACGAAAAAAATATATTTCATTGTTTGTTTATTATTAAATTATTGTAAACTTATCTAAAATATATTTAGTTGGATTAGGCTAAATTAAATTGCGCTTGTTATAATAAGGTTAGGTAAGTTTTCTAAGTTTCTTTTGGTACAAAATTATTTTTACATTAGCATAAATGAAAAAAATATATCTTTAAACGTATAAGAGAAAATTTTAGAAAGGACTTAATTTTAAATGAGTTCATGCTAATTGACCAATTTTACCTATTCGACACGATATATATATATATATATATATATATATATATATATATATATATATATATATATATATATATATATATATATATATATATATATATATATTCCTCTTCGTTCATAACACGGGAATGCCTCATCCGATTGGCTTCACATTCTCAACACTGGTGTATGGTAACAAATGCAAGATTGTTGCGACTATAGGCACGTGCAGGCGCCTTGTGACTACAGTTGTAGAACCATTGTATGTTGTATCTGTGTCTGTTTACTAAAGTTGCCTGCAATGGCTCAGGCAACTTTCAAGGCTCAAGTGCCTGGCTTCCAGCCTTCAAAACAGGCGCCATTTATTTCCACGACGTCGGAGAGTGTAATTTAAGTGTGTGTAGGAGCACATTTGCTATTTTTACGCGTAAAATATTGTGAAATTTTTCATTCTTGCTCAATTACGGTGAATAAATTTGACTGCACTTCTTCGGAATGTCTTCAGTATTTAATGGTTGATCCATCTTATGGATAGGATAGTACCCATTAAGTTCAAGAGGATGCCCTTATCATCTGATAGATTTTATATTCTCATCCCTGGCGTGTTTTTCAGAACAAGCAAGACTCACCTTATTGTACTGAACCATTAGACACATGTGCAACATCTGGGTATCTTTATTTGTAGACGTAGCGTCAACCACTGGCTTTATCGATACATTACATTACAAGGACTTAATATGAAGAATTATATGCAAAAGATGAGTTAATCAGTCCCTCAACCTTGGTGTTGAACAGCACCTTAAGTCTTCAAGACTTCGGTGATCTTCACTGCTCCGAGGCTGACGGACTCATTACCTCAGATTTTGTATACAAATCTTCACATTATGTTCTTGTATTGGTAAAGCCACTGGATGGTGAAACGTCTACAAATAAAGATACCCAGATGTTGCAGATATGTCTAATACTTTATCTTGTCGGTATCGCACCATTTATGTACAGTGTACTACACCCTATTTGGCTGCATAAGTCCCAATTTGCCAATTTTATTAAATAATTAGTATACTGATTTCGATAACTAAAGAACGCCTCGTCTGTTCGGCTTTAAAATATTAACTAATGCATGCCAAAAGAAGGATGACACTGTAAGCCTAAACTGTGCAGACTCAAATTCGAAATTTTATGACTTAAAAAAATATTGTAATCGTTGGAGCCATTACCAAAGAATTTTTTTTTCTGATTGGCTTCAAAGTTTAAGTGGTGATGTGCTTTAGTAAAAGGAAATTGGCTTTCACGGTGATCTGTAAATTTTAAATTGCTGAGTGTATGCAGTAAGGGGACACCACCCCTGGGTGACACAACGACAGAAATACAGCCAGTGTTGGCGAGGCTTGTCCTCTGCTGTGTCAGGTGATACTTGTATACACCTGGAGGACAGCAGCAGGGTGACGACATACTAGTTTTTGTTCAGCAGGGTGACGACACACTAGTTCTTCTTCAGCAGGGTGACAACACGCTAGTTCTTCTTCAGCAGGGTGACGACACACTAGTTCTTGCTCAGCAGGGTGACGACACACTAGTTCTTGTTCAGCAGGGTGACAACACACTAGTTCTTGCTCAGCAGGGTGACGACACACAAGTCCTTGCTCAGCAGGGTGACGACACACTAGTTCTTGCTCAGCAGGGTGATGACACACTAGTTCTTGCTCAGCAGGGTGACAACACACAAGTTCTCTATCTAATTACATGGCGAAGTTCTCTCAAGTTAGGCTGCCAAACACTGATATTAACACCTTCCTGACATACCACCTCGCACCTGCTTTAGTCTTATGATACACTTAATAACAATAAAAATTTGCGACTTACTAAAGCAGACAAAATAAATGCAATAGTAATTATGAAAGAAAATGATTACCAAGAAAAAATGAATAATCTCTTAGATGATACTGAAACCTATTCTAAACTTAGGAAAAATCCCCTAGAAACCGTTAACAGCAATTTCAATAGAACAATAAAACTTCTACTGAAAGGCAAAGATGAATTAGTCAAACAATTTACTTCCACTAATCTATCTTTACCTTACATGTGTGGACTAATAAAAACACACAAACCAGGGAATCCAGTCAGACCAATTATTAGCTCCATAGGGTCAGTTTCATATAAATTATCCAAATGGCTTGTTGATATTTTGAGCCCTATTGTTGGCAAAATTTCTAACTTTAATGTTAAAAACAACATAGACTTAGTTGATAAATTAAGCTCCTTGACAGACTTAAATGATTTTAACATGGTTAGTTTTGATGTTACTTCCTTGTTTACGAAAGTTCCTGTTGATGATTTATTAAGTTTCTTATCTGAAGAACTCGTTAACTATGATTTACCATTGCCAGTTCCTACTATCATTAAACTTATTAATTTGCATTGTTGATGCAAAATTTGTATTTAATGATAAAGTTTTACACTCAGAGTTTTGGTATGGCAAGGGAATCCTCTTTCATCTGTTCTTAGTAATCTATACATGGAATTTTTTGAAACAAGGTTCTTAACACAATCCTCCCTAATAGAGCTAATGGTTCAGATATGTTGATGATATTTTGTGTCTTATGCCCAAAAATGTAGATATACACCTATTTCCTTGCAAATTAAATAGCTTAGCCCATTCTATAAATTTTACTGTTGAATTTGAAGAAAATAACTCATTGCCTTTTTCTAGATGTTTTAATTATTATGTATATAATGAATTCAATTTAAAATTTACAGAAAACTACAAATAACTGTTCCTATGTCCACTATTATTCCTCGCATCAAGATAGTCAAACTGTCTGTTTTCTCATCAATGTTTTTGAGAGCTTTACGAATTTGTAGTCCAGAGTTCATAGATGAGGAAATATCCAAAATTTATGAAATAGGTAATGATTTAAAATACCCAAGAAATGTAATTGATAAATCTTTTAAAGTTGCTAGAAATACTTTTTACAATCCGAAAAGGTACAACCAGCCTTATTCAACTAAAAATATGTTGGTTCTCCCTTACCATGAAAACTTGGTTGATATGCCTTCTCTTCTTAAGACTTTTATATTAGAGTTGTATTCAAAAATCTTGATACAGTAAAAAAACTTTGATAAAGAATTCCCCCCAAAATGCTGAAGGATGTGTCTAATAAGATTCCATGTAAAATTTGCGATAAAGTTTATTACGGTCAAACTGTAAAAATCTCGAACTAAGATTAAAACAACATAAATATAGCATTATAACTGGACAAGATTCCAATGCTCTATTTATTCATGTAAGAGAATTTTAACCATCCAATTGGTTTTCAAAAGTTGAGAAAGTAGTATCAAGCAAGTCCATGGTCGACAGGAATATAATTGAATCTTGTTTCATAAAAAGCAGTTTTGACAATAATATGAATATTTCCTTTGGTTATATAAATTAGATCCATTTATAATTAATAGAATTTGGGAAGAATTTAATAATACACTGGACAAATAATAATTTTAAAATTTTCTTGGGTAGAATAGTTTGTTGGTGGGTTGTGCAAAGGACCTGTCCAGTGGGCCGGCGCACATCAGGTGTTTAACCGTTGTGGGATCTGATAGTGAGGTGTTGGCCAGACCCCTTATATACCTTCCTTGGATGCTTTACTTTCATAGTTCCTGATAATGTGAGTAGTCACGAAAGCGCTTGGAATTTCTTATTTCTTCAGAGTGGTTGTTTGATATAATGATATATAATTATATTATTAATATAATATATATATATATATATATATATATATATATTATATATATATATACTGCATACTACAAGTATGTATATGCTAACAATTCGCAAAAATGCCGAAATTTTTACAAACATGTCTCAAGTCCACACAGACTCGAACCTGTAACACCCTGTATCAGAGTCCACAGACTTTACCACTGGCTAGACCCAAGATAAGTATGGCGCTGGGTAACGATCGCTTAGCTTCGGCTAAGTGCCCATACTTATCTTGGTCTAGCTCATTGTTAAAAGTACTTGACTCTGTACAGAGTTAGCTAGGTTCGAAGTCCTGCATGGGACGTGGATCAATGTTTATATATATAATATATGCAAAAACCACTGAAAAAGTAGTGAAATTCAAGCGCTTTCGTGACTTTTCACATTATCAGAACTATGATTGATATATATATGTTATATTTAATTAAAATATATAACTTTATATATATGATATAAATGATGGGGGTGTTTTTGTTACAGTTAAACTGTAGTGTAAAGCACCCTCTGGAAGACAGTGAAGAGTAGAATGATGTGAAATTTTTTTTGGCACCCTGCCTTGGTGAATTCCCATTGTGATAATAAATAAATAAATAAAATATATAATATATATATTATAATATATATTATATAATATATATGATTTGTTTAGATGCTTGAGTAGTGTTGCGAGTTTTTATGCGATGATGCCTTTT